TATATTTTTAAATAAACAAATAAAATTTTCTGTTTTAAGTGAATAATTTTTACAGAACTAAATATTTTATTACATTTACAATTTACATTATTTACATTGGCTGCTCTACATTGTTATCATTATACACTATTTCATCGTCTCCCGACGGTTGGATACTGAGCCCACCTCAGGCCTCTCGGAGGGGGGTGTCATCACAGGGCTCGTCCCCACCGGGACCCAGCAAGGGGCGCAAGTTTATGACCTCTCTCGCACCGTCCCACCACAGCTGAGCCCGAGGAGACGTTTTATAACCCAGCGGATTCATCCCAAATAGCAGTGTCAGGATCTGTTAGACTCGTACATCTGATGCTAAGAAAACACAGAAATCTCAGCGCTGTAAATCCAAGCAGCTGCTCACGTGTTTCGGAGCGAGTCGAGTCTCTGTTCATGTCTGCCGTATTAAATTGTTTAGTCTAGGCTCTTCTCGCCGTTGCACAAGCACACTAGGGATTTTTGTCTGGACTGTGATGGCTTTGCTTTTTTTTGTCTCTGCTGTTTAGATTTTACGAGTACGAGGCCCGAGTGGCGTCATCTAGATTCAAACAAGCTGTGGAGCACAGAATCATTCAAGCGTGCTTTAATCTGTGTATGGCATTTAAAAACAACAAATGCATGATGAGACATTTGGATCTGGAGGATCAAAGGGTTGCATTTAAGTGATCCAACTCTGATTAGACCGTTGACAAAACGTTTGTGCATTTTCCCTGCCAACCATGCATATTAAAGGCATATTTCAAAGGAAAATGATCACTCTGGCATAATTTACTTCAAGCCTGCAGTATTCCTTTCTTCAGGGAAACACAAATGGAGAAGTTAGACAGAATGTCAGCAAAGAGGGCGGTGATTTATAATATCAAGCAAAAGAACAAACAAGCAGAGTTTGTGAAAGTGAAGCGTTCCAATTTTTAATCGTTTACAAGTGCAAATAAGATTTGAGATCTATAAACATCAAATACATCCCATCCTGAACAAATCAAGTGTTTCAATCACTTCAGTTGCTCAATTTTAAGATATTTATTCATCCAAGGATCCCTAAATGTTTTCTCAGTCAAACCCTTGACATAAAATATCTACTTGAAGGCCCCAGTGAGATTTGAAGTTCATTTTTCAATCATTTAGATATGTCCATTTCAGTGATTTCTGTCACTTTTTGTTTTATTTTGATTGATTTTATTGAAAAAACGTTTATTCATTTTAATTTGACATTTTTTTTAACATTTATTTAACTATTAGCTTTTCATTCCTGTATAAGTCTATTGACAGAATATGACTACTTTTGTAAGAAAATTACAAGCTTCAAAAGAAATTGTAATTTTTGTTGTATTTATTATTATTTTGTATTTTATTTATTGCTTTTGTCCTAATGATATGTCTTGTTTCAGCATATATTTTAGATGTTGATATGCCTCTGCTTCTTCACTAATGTTATTTTAGCATCACATTAATATACAATGATAGTTTTTGTTAATATTTTGAATAAGATTTTATTTTTATATTTTCACTTTAATTTAAATAAGTTTTAGTAATATTTTGTATGTTTTGTTTGATTGATTTTATTTTTATACATTTATTTGTATAAATATATGCCTATATATTTATTCATTTTTATTTATTAGTTTTAGTTTATTTAGTTTTATTTATTTTATTATTTCAATTTAAACTAAATGAAAATAAGACATTTGAAATTATTAAAAGCTAAAATTAAATTAAAAGTGTTTTACATTTTATTTTATTCCAGTTAACGTTTATTTTATTTTAAGCAACGGAAATTCATTTTTAAGGGTTTTAGTATCAGTTAACAATATTAACTATATTAAATATAAAATCATATATATATATACACACACACACACACACACACACACACATATATATATATATATATATATATGCATGCGTTTGTATTTATATATACACAGTACACACACCACAAACTTTAATTTTGGATGCGATTAATCACAATAAATCATTTTGACAGCACTAATGAATTAATTAATGTAACATTTAAAATAATTTTTACACCATTGGCAGGAAGACCAACTAGTTTAATCTGTTACTTTGTTTGTCATTGTTTATATCAGATTACAAGTTTTATGAAATAATAAAATAAAAACAATATATAATAGAAATAATAATAATAAAAGTATCCCAATCCAAAATGGCCCAATTATCCTAAATTAACGTTAATTTAATTTTGTACTTTTATTTCTATTTTATTTCATTTTTATGTACTTAAATTTCTTTTAAAATAATAATAATAAAAAAATTATGTGTTCATCACAAAAAATTATTTAATTTGTTGTTGGTTCTATTCTAATTTAGTCTGCAAACTTGAATTAAATACAATCATTTTGTAGAGGAAACAATTTAAGTCACATTGTCATAACAGAATATATTCACATTTTGCTGATGGTGTTGTTTTGTCTGTATGAATTGATTCATTGTTCAAGTTTTGTCTCAAATGCAAACCAGTCAGCAGATGCCAGAACAGATAGATTATAGCTGACTTTGCTTGATGACTTGGTTAGATAGTTTTATCCAGCGCAGAATAAAAAACACACTAGTGGGCACCAAAGAGCAGCACTTACTTTCAGATCATCCAGACAAAACCTCAGAGCTGAGCTGTATGGACCTCTGGAGGATTACCCAGAATGCCCTGGGCCAGCAGTCAGTAGTGAGAAACTCCAGATGGAAATAATGGAGCAGATTAGAGCGTGGTTGTGGTCTCAGATAAGTGATCACATTTATCATCTCATCATCATCATCAGGTAACCAGCAGTTCAAGCAGCTCCATAAAAACACTCTTCCTCTGGAATTGTATGTTTCCTTGCAAACAAACAGCAGGCCAAGACTAAGAAAGCTGTAGAGCAAGCGTATAATAATACAAACCAGTGAGTAATGGATTACAAAACACACATAAAACGGCAGATCTAGAAGGACATAAACTTGAGTCGTGCTGAAAGCTCGTTGTTGCCGTTTGCAGTGGATCAAATGCTCTTGTAATAGAGATTGTCCTCATAAAAGTGAATGATTTCACTTCAGTGCATCTACTTCAAATGGTTTGTGGTGTTTAAAGGGAAATTTGTCATCACAAATCAGTTATAGATGAACAATTGAACTAAAACTGAGCAATTTAACTAAAAAAGTGAAGAAGAGCTACTTCCAAAATCAAATGTTTCCACCAAAGAACAAATCTCTGTCCTTCAGATTTACATCGCAGAGTAATATAAATGTGTAATATAAAATATGTTGTTTTTATTTATTTATTTATTATATCGTAATATAAAATGATATTTCAATGAAATTATTTAGACTTTCATTTATTGACTAAATGTTGTGTAATATATATTCATTCCAATTAATACATTTTACAATTTAATTTTAAATTATAATTGAAATTATATTTAAAAAAAGCAATAACTGTGTGTGTAGATAGATGCAAATTAAATATACATCTAGAATATAGACACACATTAGATTTAAATGACTGTAAAAAAAAAAAATA